AACACAGTAAAGGAAGATGGCCCTCTAGACAGTGATGTCTGACACATGGGAGCACGGCTGAATGTTGGCATGAGAGAAAGTCATCCAATACTTTGCCAGAGGTGTCAAATGGGGTCTTATGATGTGGATGGGTGCCCCAAACCTATTTCTCTAAAAACGCCCTCCGGCCACACATAAAGTCCGCTCCACATCCTCATAGTCCACTTCTTCCATCATGGACATAGCATACTGGCACTATTCCCCCTCCCAGTTTATACCTAGAAAAGTTTCAATGGTGTCAGCATCAAAGGTAACCCTCTTACCCCTTACGTAGCTAAAGTACGTCTCATCATGTCCCCCAATGCTTTGGCTTTTGTGTAGAATTCTTTGATGATGTCAACATTGGCGGGAGAGGATAGGTAACATGCTTGATGAGAGGATGATGAACCAGATCAAACTACAAGAAAACCTGGTAGAGGTAGGGTAAAGAAAGTTAATATTAAATGTTCAAAATAAAAAACTTCTAAAAAACAATAAGTTTTAATGGCATTTTTGGGAACGCAAGAAGGTTAACTAATGATAAATCTTTTAGTAAATTAAGGCATTTGATTACTCAACTTCAGTTTTGTATTGTTTGGTGTTGTATTGGTTTATTATTTTCCATCTAAGTATTTACTTAATTTTTTTGTTCATAATATGTATTTTTTTTTACATATGTGTGTGTTGTATTTTTATCATGGGTTTGGTATGGTATCCAAAGTTTTTTTGTTCTTTTTACTTTTATTTTTAACAAAATCTCCATGTTTCGGTAGTAATGTCTAGCATGAATTTATTTAAAATAAATGTGAGATATCTAATAAATTTTCCCACTCGAGACAAGTACATCTCAAATATAAAACTGGATATTAATAGATTTTAGTAGATTATTTGGTAATAATACAATGATGAATGATACAATAATATACTTAACAAACAACACACTATATAATATATGATTAAATAACTCTAATATCATCTTGAAAAATTGATTTTAAACTTAATTCAACGTTACAAAATTTTAATATAGGCTATAAATATATCATCTTAAGCTTAATTCAAACCTACATTACAAAAGATTATCATATCACTCCTCACTTTTCTCGGACAAATTCAACTTTGAAACTTTTAACATAGACCCCATCAAGTTTTTCAAGCTTTTTTATGCTTCTCGATGAACAATAGCAATAAGTTCAATAACTCCTTTGTCATTACTCATGATTTTGTGAACCAATACTTTGGCCCTTTCCTTAAATTACTTGTTCATCCAACCCTATCAACGATTTTATCAAAATATATATATATATATATATATATATATATATATATATATATATATATATATATATTAATTCTTATATTAAAATTTCATTATGTCTAACCTAAATTAATATACATTTTCGTTAATTTTCTTTTCAATAGTAATTGAGTTAAAAAGTTGAATATTATTCATAGATTGTTGATATTTAAATCATTCTATTTTTATTTTACATATACTCATCTCATATGAAAACACTTAGATTTAATGTGGTACTCCATGTTTTTCGGTTCTTTTTATTTTTATTTTTTAAAAAAATATTCATGTTTAGGTAGTAATGTTGAGCATGAACTTATTTAAAATAAATGTGAGATGTCTAATATATTCTCTCACTCGAAACATGTACATCTCAAACATAAAACTACATATTAGTAGATTATTTTGTAATAGTTTAATGATGTATGATACAATACACACTACAAAAATATCATATTTTAGTAGAGGTTAAATTTTGGAGGTTTATAAAAGCTCCGTAAATTTTCGACGTTATATTAAAACCCCGGTAAATATAATTTTTAAAATTTTTAAAATAAATTTCTGTAGTTCCAACTTCAAATGTCTCCAACTCGCCATCTTACACATTTCCTCTTCACTTCCTCCTCCCCTCTTCCCAAACCCTAGAAATTAAAGAAACCAAACCTCCTATTGATCTTGACATTTCATCGTTGGTGGAAGCGTTGGTGGGCACTGCGAGTGTTCTATGGTGGTCATTTTCGTTCCCAAACCTTTTTCACTTCTCCAGTTCCTGTAAGATCTCTCTTACTCTCTTTGTCTGTTAGGGTTTTAGCATAGGTCTAGACATTGGCTCCCATGACGACATTGTAGAAGCGAGTCTTCCATCGCCCTTCACCATCGTGAAGGGAACTCCAAGGTCCGGTCTGAAACGCTACTACGACAAGGAAGGGGTAAGTGTCTATGTCATGTGGTTGTCGGCCCCAAGGACAAGGATTTTGCCATGGACCAAGCTATTCATCCATGTCGATGCTCTAAATCCTCGCAGAAGGAATCGTTGATTTTCCTTTGTAGTTTGTACGAATTCTCTGCTTCCATCAGGTCTAAGGTCTAAGCTCCAAGACACTGGATAATGAAGCTCTCGATAGTGAGGTAGGGAAAAAAGAGACGGAATCTGATGTCGAACCTGGTGAAATCAAGGTGGCCGAAGATCGAGATATTCAATATAATAATCAAAATTTGGTATGTTGTGATTAATTTCGTTTATTTTGTTTTAGTTCACTTTTTCATTTTTGTGTATCAAAAGTGATATTTGTTTAGTCTCGGAGAAACTAGAGACCATTGTAAAGGGAAAGGCGTACGCTACCGGGGAAGAGCACGATTACAGGTTCCCTGTGTTCAAGGCTAACTTGCGTCGTGCTCGGCACCACCAGAGCCTGGATCCTTTCGCGGTTCACGGCGTGACTCAGTTCTCCGACCTTACGCCGACGGAGTTCCGAAATAAGGTTTTGGGCCTGCGAGGTGTGAGGTTGCCCTCCGATGTGGAAAAAGCTCTCATTCTCCACCAATAATCTTCCGAGTGATTTTGATTGGAGAGATAAACGGTGCAGTTACCGTTGTCAAGAATCAGGTGCAATAGTACTAATCATGATGATATGATTTGTGAATGGTTTTTAGAATAATTGATTTCAAATTGGTTGGTGAGTTAGGGTTCATGCGGCTCGTGTAGAGCTTCAGCGCTACTAAGGCTTTGAAGGGGCTCACTTTCTGGCAACAGGGGAACTTGTGAGTCTAGTGAGCAGCAGCTTGTTGATTGTGATCACGAGGTTTTTTCCGTTCTTTTCTTCGCCCTTTATCTTCTTGCTAATGACCTTTAACTCATGTTTGTTTGTGCAATTTTTTATGTAGTCTATTATTTCTTGATATGGTGTAACTTTTGTCTTGGGTTTAAGACACTTAATGTCCTCTGTAGTTAGGAAACTAATTTCTGGAAAAATGATAAACATTTAGGACATGAAGATCAGCATGTGTGTTTTTTACTTTACGCCTGTGTTCTTTCAATTGTTCGTTCTTTTGGGGTTTATCATTGATCAGGACATGTCACTATATTGCTGATAAGTGTGAAAAAGAGTGTTTTTTACACTTATAAATGATCTCCAATTTCTAATTATTCATGTTTACTTAGTGAAATGTTGTAATAGGAAGTAGATTGTTATGTAAATTATTGTACAGGAAAGGATGTAATTGGGAGTTTGTCAGCCAATTCCGCATAGCACAAGCAATTCGCACTGCAGAAACGGAAATTTGCATAGCGCATCAATACTTGTGCATTGTGCGAATAACATCAGTTGGAGGCAGCAGTTACAAGAAATTCGCATAGCGCACACACACATGTGCGTTGAGCGAATTAATGAAGTTTAAGTGGCTTTAAAAGACGTGACAGCAAAGGCAGAAACATCTCTGACACAGGAAAATAGCCAAAAAAATACTGGAGAACTCAGGAGACGATCAGGAGACCTTCAAGACATCAAGACTTCACTTTCTGCAAGGAATTGCTGAAAAGAGTAACGTTGAGATGTCTAGGATAGGCTAAATTTTCTGTTTCATGGGAATTGGGTGTATGACGAACATTAATGTAAATTTCCTGTGGCAAATAGTTTTTGTTCTTTTTCTTCTTGACTTGCTTTGATTATACGGAAGTATTAATCCTCTTTAAAAGTTTAGTACTGGAAAGTATTTTAGAAACCAGAAAACTTAAGAAAAGAAACTAAAAGTAATTACGCTAGGAATAGTTTCTGTGCTTTTGGTCATTCTCACATCTAAAGTCAATGCAAAATTATCTGATGAATTAATTAAGGAATTAATAATTCAATAGATAATTTTAGAACTTGTTTTAAGGAATAAACCAAGATACTCTCATGTGAAGCTGAAACAGAGATATATGTTGTCCAGGATTTACTGTAATGTTAGTCAAAGACCAATTCCAGGATCTTTTATTGCATTTTTCAATCTTAATTTTTTTACGTTTTTAATTCATGCTTAAATTCAAATTGAAATCACAAATGTTATCATCAGTAATTGATCTTGATAAATAATTTTAATTGAATAACGTAACCAAAATTCCCATGGGAGAACGATACTCTTTTACTTATTCACTGTATACTTGAAACGATTTGTATACTTGCCAAAAAAGTTATCAATTGCGCTGAAATTTGGGAGGTTAAATTTTGTAATGGACGTTGTTTAGAACGAGTGTCCTAAGATATAATTTGGCTTTACCATTTAGGTGTTTTTTCGGAACTTAATTCTTCTATGCTTATTGATGGGAAAATTTAGTCTGCCTTAATTCTTTATGGCTGCCCAATTAGAGAAATATGATTCCGAAGGGTGATTTTAGATGGTTAAAATACTCTTATTTCATTCATATATGTTCAGACATCAATGCAATAAATGCAGTCAATTTTCTAATGTATATCCTCCATCTTAAAAGGTGGGAATCTAAAAAGGTCCATGTTTAAGATCTTTTCATAGCAATATGCATACAATGAGTATGCTTTGCCCTATGTTGGAACATTCAATTTTAGAGTGACTTTGAAACTGAATAAATAATTTTATTAAAACTCTTCAAAATAGTAAATGAGTGAAATAATTCTATTGAATCAAACACAGTGAGGGAGAAATTATTATTAATCAAAAACTATATAATTGATTTAAAATGTGTGAACTGGATAGCTGGAGAGAACTGCTCGTGTTCATTTTGCTCCATCGTCAGATCAAACTCCCATTACAAAGAAAACTTCTGCTTTTGAGAATGGTGTGATCCTCTGCTTCTCTTTCAATCACTAAGACTGAGTTGTCTGTGATATATGTTTAATATTCTTTATGATGCAGGGAACCTATCTCGGAAAATCTCTAGTGCAAAGCTCCTGGAAGCTTGGAAGAAAGGCCACTTTCTGCAAGCATCGTTGGACTCATCTGATAGTATTCTGATAGGAGAAACCCAGGAGAACTAAGTATGAGTCTTACTTGTGAAAAGCATGACACTCAGTTCTTTTGAAGCTGACTTTGTCAGAAGGAGGCTGAACTTGCTTCACATGTCACGTCTGGTATGATTTTCTTGCTTCATTCCCTGTAAACTTTTTGCAACCATACATTCTTTTTAGGGCTCGACATTATCTTATCATTGAGAATTATCATGATGTTCAAGTAATAGAATTTATAGTTTATCACTAATATAATTTATATTAAGCTGTTGGATCATAAGACAGTGATCTGGATGACCCTTTTTTATTTGGGATACAATGATGATTTATTTTAATAATACAAATTTCAGGCATCAATGGAATCTATCTGTGATTCTCTTGCTAACGAGCTGGTCAAAATGACAGAACAGGTGAATTTTGCTTCCTGTTTACCACTTATGGGTCATGTTCCTTGTCATTAACCATGACATGTATATCATATCTACCCTGCAATGTGAGAAGTTGCATGGGGAGGCTGCTGTATTACCTGGCTTACGATCAGAGCTAGAAGCACTAAGGAGGAGGCACTCTGCTGCTTTGGAATTGATGGGCGAATGTGATGAAGAGGTAATTCTAACTTTGCCAACCTCTGCTTTCTTCCTAGGTCTAATTTCTTAGACATAATTTGGTTTTTGGATTCCTGACCTAGTGGCCTGTCTGCCTATTCAATCTGTAGGGAAATCATTGCCATCCTATGGACTAATTCTTAAGTTTGTTTTCTGATTATTTTTCTTGTGTTTGAAATACTTTAGGGTCCAGACAAGAGTATGGCACTTCTGAATCGTGACCTATTCAGAAAATCTGAGAAATCAAATGAAAGAAAAATGCTAAACAAACTAGGCCATAAATACAATAATGGGTGAAAGAAAAGAAAATAATCTCTAGGCTTGTAATTATATTATATTTTAACATTTTTCAACCATCAATAATTCTTAAATTCGTCTAATAATTTTTTTAAAATATTATTAACTAATTATTGTTTTATATTGTAGGTATTTGAAAAATGAAATATATCAAATGATGGAAACAATGAAGAAGTACCAAATGATGAAGACAATTAAAAAGTATCAAATGATGAAGACAACGAATAAGTACAAAACTATAATTATTATTCATAACTTGTTAATTTTATTCTTTAAGAAACATTAATTGTATTTCTATTGTTTACAATTTATATAATAATATTTTGGTTTATATTTAATGTTTACATTTAATTTTGGTTTCATATTATTTAATTTTTGTTTATTAATGATAATCAAGTCATTTGAATAATAAAAAAAATAGATTACTTACATTTCCGGCGGTTTTGGAAACCCCAACTATGTAAACTCAAAAGTTATCGGCGGTTTTTATAAACCCCTACAAATTACCGGCGATTTTGTTTAACTTCGGTTATTTCCGACGGTTTTAGTAACCCCTACTAATACCGACGATTTTAGTAAAACTCTCGCTAATACGGCGGTTTCGGTAATTACTTAGTGACGTAGGTTTTCTCAACGGTTTTCCTAACCGCGGGTAATGTATTTTTCGAGAGTTAAAACCATCGAAAACGGAAAAAATAACCCTCAATAAAAATCTAATTTTTTGTAGTGACAATTAACAAACAATAAACTTCAGTAATATATAATTTAAATAACTTTAATATCATCTTAAAAAGTTAATTTTAAACTTAATTGAACATTACAAAGTTATTAGTATAGGTTCTAAATAACTCTAATATCATTTAAGTTTAATTAAACCTAAGTTAGAAAGAATTGTCGTATCACTTCTCACTTTTCTCGGAATGACACATGCAATTAAGTTCAATAACTCTTTTGTCATTACTCTGATTAATTTACTTCTTCATCCATCCCTATCAACTATTTTATCAATATATTTTAGTTTTAGAATATATATATATATATATATAAATAGAGGTCCTTATACACCTGGATNTAACATCAGTTACAGAGGCAGCAGTTACAAGAAATTCGCATAGCGCACACACACATGTGCGTTGAGCGAATTAATGAAGTTAAGTGGCTTAAAAGACGTGACGAAAGGCAGAACATCTCTGACACAGGAAAATAGCCAAAAAAATACTGGGAACTCAGGAGACGATCAGGAGACCTTTCAAGACATCAAGACTTCACTTTCTGCAAGGAATTGCTGAAAAGAGTACGTTTGAGATGTCTAGGATAGCTAAATTTTTGTTCATTGGAATTGGTTGTATGACAAACATTAATGTAAATTTCCTGTGCAATATATGTTTTTGTTCTTGTTCTTTTCTTGACTTGCTTTTGATTATACGGAAGTATTAATTCTTTTAAAGTTTTATTGTACTGGAAGTATTTTTAGAACAGAAAACTTAAGAAAAGAAAAAAAAAGTATTACGCTAGGAATAGTTTCTGTGCTTTTGGTCATTCTCAACATAAAGTCAATGCAAAATTATCTGATGAATTAATAAGGAATTAATAATCAATAGATAATTTTAGAACGAACTGTTTTAAGGAATTAACCCAGATACTCTCATGTGAATGTGAACAGAGATATATGGTGTCCAGGATTTACTGTAATGTTAGTCAAAGACCAATTCCAGTGATCTTTTATTGCATTTTTAAATCTTAATTTTTTTTACGTTTTTAATTCATGCTTAAATTCAAATTGAAATCACAAATGTTATCATCAGTATTGATCTTGATAAATAATTTTAATTGAATAACGTAACTAAAATTCCCTTGGGAGAACGATACTCTTTTACTTATTCACTGTATACTTGAAACGATTTGGTATACTTGCCAAAAAGTTATCAATTGCGCTGAAATTGGGGGAGTTAAATTTTGTAATGGTTTGTTAGAACGAGTGTCCTAAGATATAATTTGGCTTTACCATTTAAGGTGTTTTTTTCTGAACTTAATTCTTCTATGCTTATTGATGGGAAAATTAGTCTGCCTTAATTTTTTATGGCTGCCAATTAGAGAATATGATTTCGAAGGGTGATATTTTTAGAGGTTAAAATACTCTTATTTCATTCATATATGTTCAGACATCAATGCAATAAATGCAGTCAATTTTCTAATGTATATCCTCCATCTTAAAAGGTGGTGAATCTAAAAAGGTCCATGTTAAGATCTTTTCATAGCAATATGCATACCATGAGTATGCTTTGCCCTATGTTTGGAACATTCAATTTTAGACGTGACTTTGAAACTGAATTAATAATTTTATTAACACTCTTCAAAATAGTAATGAGTGAAATAATTCTATTGAATCAAACACAGTGAGGGAGAAATATTATTAATCAAAAACTATATAATTGATTTAAAATGTGTGAACTGGATAGCTGGAGAGAACTGCTCGTGTTCATTTTGCTCCATCGTCAGATCAAACTCCCATTACAAAGAAAACTTCTGCTTTTGAGAATGGTGTGATCCTCTGCTTCTCTTTCCATCACTAAGGCTGAGTTGTCTGTGATATATGTTTAATATTCTTTATGATGCAGGGAACCTATCTCGGAAAATCTCTAGTGCAAGCTCCCTTGGAAGCTTGGAAGAAAGCCACTTTCTGCAAGCATCGTTGGACTCATCTGATAGTATTTCTGATAGGAGAAACCCAGGAGAACTAAGTATGAGTCCTTACTATGTGAAAAGCATGACAATCAGTTCTTTTGAAGCTGCACTTTGTCAGAAGGAGGCTGAACTTGCTTCATACATGTCACGTCTGGTGATTTTTTGCTGCCTCATTCCCTGTAAACTTTTGCCCCATACTTCTTATTTAGGGCTCGACATTCTCTTATCATTGAGAATTTATCATGATGTTCAAGTAATAGAATTTATAGTTTATCACTAATTAAATTTATATTAAGCTGTTGGATCATAAGACAGTGATCTGGATGACCTTTTTTATTTGGGATACAATGATGATTTATTTTAATAATACAAATTTCAGGCATCAATGGAATCTATCTGTGATTCTCTTGCTAACGAGCTGGTCAAATGACAGAACAGGTGAATTTTGCTTCCTGTTTACCACTTATGGGTCATGTTCCTTGTCATTAACCATGACATGTATATCATATCTACCCTGCAATGTGAGAAGTTGCATGGGGAGGCTGCTGTATTACCTGGCTTACGATCAGAGCTAGAAGCACTAAGGAGGAGGCACTCTGCTGCTTTGGAATTGATGGGCGAATGTGATGAAGAGGTAATTCTAACTTTGCCAACCTCTGCTTTCTTCCTAGGTCTAATTTCTTAGACATAATTTGGTTTTTGGATTCCTGACCTAGTGGCCTGTCTGCCTATTCAATCTGTAGGGAAATCATTGCCATCCTATGGACTAATTCTTAAGTTTGTTTTCTGATAATTTTTCTTGTGTTTGAAATACTTTAGGGTCCAGACAAGAGTATGGCACTTCTGAATCGTGACCTATTCAGAAAATCTGAGAAATCAAATGAAAGAAAAATGCTAAACAAACTAGGCCATAAATACAATAATGGGTGAAAGAAAAGAAAATAATCTCTAGGCTTGTAATTATATCATATTTTAACATTTTTCAACCATCAATAATTCTTAAATTCGTCTAATAATTTTTTTAAAATATTATTAACTAATTATTGTTTCATATTGTAGGTATTTGAAAAAGGAAACATATCAAATGATGGAAACAATGAAGAAGTACCAAATGATGAAGACAATGAAAAAGTATCAAATGATGAAGACAACGAAAAGTACAAAACTATAATTATTATTCATAACATGTTAATTTTAATCTTTAAGAAACATTAATTGTATTTCTATTGTTTACAATTTATATAATAATATTTTGGTTTATATTTAATGTTTACATTTAATTTTGGTTGTATTAATGAGATCAGTCATTTGAATAATAAAAAAAATAGATTACTTACATTTCCGGCGGTTTTGGAAACCCCAACTATGTAAACTCAAAAGTTATCGCGGTTTTCATAAACCCCCACAAATTACCGCGCGTTTTGTTTAACCTCGGTTATTTCCACGTTTAGTAACCCCTACTAAATACCGACGATTTTCGAAATCGTTAATACCGTCCCGGTAATTACTTAGTGACGTCAGGTTTTCCCAACGGTTTTCCTAACCGCGGGTAAGTATTTTTCGAGAGTTAAAACCTCGAAAACGGAAACTCTAAAAATCTAATTTTTTGTAGTACACTTAACAAACAACAAACCTCAGTAATATATAATTTAAATAACTCTTAATATCATCTTAAAAAGTAATTTTAAACTTAATTGAACATTACAAAGTTATTAGTATAGGTTCTCAAATAACTCTAATATCATTTAAGTTTAATTAAACCTAAGTTAGAAAGAATTGTCGTATCACTTCTCACTTTTCTCGGAATGACACATGCAATTAAGTTCAATAACTCTTTTGTCATTACTCTGATTAATTTACTTCTTCATCCATCCCTATCAACTATTTTATCAATATATTTTAGTTTTAGAATATATATATATATATATATAAATAGAGGTCCTTATACACCTGGATTAACATGCTTGTTTAGAGTGAATTTGACCCCACTCTTTTATTAATATTTTTATCTTTTATTTATTTCCTCTATTAACGCCTTTATAAAAAAAATAAAATTTTTTATTATTCAACGTGGGTTTCCCAACACTATCCTTTATAAATAAAATTAATTTTTTGTATTACTCTATATGAACTTCGTTGATGCTATATAAATAAAATTTTAATTTTCTTTTATTATTTATCATTGGTTTGACCAAAACTACTCCTTTATAAATAATTCTTTTATTACTCTGATTGAGCTTGACTCACGCTCACCTATATAAATAAAAATTTAAGTTTATTTTATTATTCAGTATGTGTCTGACTAACTCTCAAATACTTTATAGATACAATATACTTTTTCTATTTGCAATTTGAATATGCTAGATGTTTAGAAGAGTTTAAATTACATCAATGAACTTTGTTAATTACATAAAAATATTTCTTTTCCAAAAGTAGATCACAAAAGCATGAGCAATTTATTATTGTTATTTATATTTTAAATTTCATTCATTACTTTTATATTGCTCAATTCAAGGTAATCAAAGTGTAATCAAATCAAATATTTTCATATATTTGTTCAAAAAGATGTTAAAGCAAACGAAACAAACATAATTAAGACATGTAAGATTTAAAATAAAATGTTAAACTATTTTTTTATCAATAAAAATTAATTTATTAAATAGGGAGAATTGGATTTTTCCAAGTCATACAAAGAAATATGAACATTCAAGAAAAAAATGTTTCTTTCTTAGCAATCAACTAAAGCAAGCCTAAAATAATGAGTGTGTTTATCAACTTATGAGTCATCTTTAACTCAAACATATATCGTATTTCAGTCTAATAACAACAAACGCAATCGTTACCCACACGGCTAAATACATGAAATTCGTATGACATACCTTATACTAAACAACTTGGTACTAAGAGTATATAAACTAAATGACAATAAATGCTCGAGACAAACCAATCATTATTAAATCAAGTTTAAAAGTTCAAGAAAAGGGTGAAGATTTAACACATGCGCAAGAAGTAAATGATAGGAACTTAAATAAATAAAAAGAAATATAATCTCATTTTCTATTTTTCTAGTTCTAATCATTACAATATTTATAGTAAAAGTAAAAATTCATCTAATCATCTTTGAAGTCTTAAATGATAAATACAATTTCTTTGAACTAAAACTACATCTTTCTAAGTTAAAACTAATCAATTTATGGTGCCATCACTCTCATACCCGTGTAAAGGAAAAAATGCATCTCTCATCTTGTATTTATGAAAACTTCAAAACGAAAAGAAAAGAGTTAAAGACTCAACGATATCTTCAAAACAAGTATATACAGTGAATACTCGAAGATGAACACAGATGCTTACTTGTAAAAATAAAAAACATTGAACTTTCACTTTGAACAATATCTTTAGACGCCTACACACGTAATTTCACAAAGTTATGGTATTTGTATTATGGCATTTTAGTGTCCTCCATCCGAGAGTTAATTTTTTGTGAAAGTGCGAAAAAAAGGCTAATGAAAAAGAATACTTTACTTGCACAGCTACAAAATGAGTAAAAAGTACTTCTTGTAACTTGTTTAGTTAAGGAAATCATTTCTATTAAGAGATTAAATATAGATTAAGTTTATTAACTAGTTTAAAAAAATTGTTCATGCTTTATTCTCTTAGGTTCTACTTTAGATGTTTTTGAACGAGTTCGGTCTACTATATCTAAAATGTGTTTTTATGAAAAACACTTTTGAAAATTTACCAACACAATTTATACTTTTACTTTGTTTTTGTTTCAATAGTCACATTACATTTTTCCTCCTATTATAGAAGTTATTTATATATATTTTCATAAATTAGAAAAATCTTGTCGAAATAATTACTCCACATTTCACTAACTATTTCTTTTTTCATGATCAAATTGTATTTAATTTTAAATTCATTTCGAGAATTTTGTTCACTTTGTGTGAAATCTATCATTATTGGTTCTATTTTGGTTCTATTTTGAGATTTCTTATTTTTCAAGCCGAGACCTACAATCTAGATAACCCAATCATATTATTCCTTTTTGATCAAAATATTTATCTTCTACCCAAAACACTGCAAGTATATTTACTTTGTTATGTACGATTTTATTATCATATTTCAGTAAAGATAAAAAAGTTAAAATGTTAAAGCAATTGCCTTTAGAAATAATTTGATTCTTTACTCAATGATATGGAAGTGTAAGAATTCAATAATATTTGGAAAAATGAAAACTCTAGAAAAAATAAATAATGGGAGCATAAACCAAAAACAGTACAAACCACTTGTTTTCATTTTCATTTTAACATGAGAAACCCAAATTAAATCAGTTTAACTTTGGTCAAGTTAGAAAAACACTCTGATATCTTAACAACTTTTTTTAATAATTTTTTAACAATAAATTATGTATCATTATTTTATTGATCCGTATATTTGAAACGGATCAATCATAAGCTACCACATAAACTGTTGTAAAAGAGGTGTTAAAAAAGTTGTTAAAAGAATATTTTCCTTAAAAAAAAAGCAACTTTAGATGAAAATATTATTTTATATATTTTAGTATGAAAAAAAAAAAACTTGATTGTATTTGTAAAAATAAAAAAGGAAATTGAAGGATAAAATAGTAAATGTAAAAAAGTGTAGGAAAAAATGTGTTGAATGTGAAATTAATATTAGGAAGGTTAAATTGAAATTGTTTAAAGTGATAATTAATTATGTCCCTTTATTAAAGAATAAAAGAACAATGTTATATTACGTGTCAAGAAGAACATAATGCATTTGCGAGAAACAGAGGAAGATGTTAGCGTAACACGGAAAAGCTTGAATTGCATGCAGTAAAGAGAGTTTTGCAAAGAAGGGAATCGCAAAGCAGAGAGGCACAACAAAGGTAAAGGCGTGGAAATGACACAGCATTGTTGAATCGAAGAAGCTTATGCGGCAAAGCGTGTTAGAGAGAAACCGCTACGCATAGCTTTTTGGGAAACCTCTCACGTGAAAGCATCACATATTTAGTATCCTATGCCCTATGACCTTCCCCTTAACTCATAACGTAAATCATCTTCACGAAGTTTTAGAATTACAGAACAATATATAATTATTAGTCCATCATGAACCGTAATTCTTACCTTCCCCCTCACGTGTTTTATCTACTTCTACAAGCGTGTCTTTTGTGCAAAAGTTAATGGCAGAAAAAACCATTATGCAGAATGCAAGTGTGTGGTGCATTATATTATGTGAAACTTTAGTTTTCGTGCCGTGTCTATTAGCTGAATTCCACTCGGTGAAAGTTACAATTTCGTAGGATATACAAAAATCATGGTTCAAGTTGCATGTGAACATTCCTAAATTAGGTAATGTAAATGGCTTGCTACTACGCTACCTTCTAAAAACATCAATCAGATCAACCCATCAAACATGCATGCCAAGTACACCCTAATTTCACTTCTTCGGTTAAATTAATTATTTAATTTTTGTCTTTTTAATCTTTTTTCATCATTTTCATGCCCCTTTTCTGTATCCTTTGTGTATATATAGGGCATGCAGGTGTTACTCAACCTTCACAACCTTCCGTGTTCTTGCATGTCATTTTAGGGGTTGAGTAGCAAGAAACCCAGTTAAGGTTTCTTAACCTATCAACTCCTAAACCTTCTCGTATATTTTTTCCTCAAAACCAAAAGCATGGCTATTCTCAACAGTCAAAATCATATGGCCTTAGCCTTTGGCGTTCTAGGTAAAACTGATCGGTCTTATCATCGCTCTCTTTCACTAGTATAATTTTCTCCTTGTTGTTTTTCTTTCTAGATCTGGTATTCCAGTACCCCACGAAAGTTGCTCCACCAAATTTAATGCTTTGCTTCCACTTCTTCTCATTTTCCTTATCTTTTTCCTCCAACCTTTTCCATTTAACTATATTAATTCAAGAACATCCCTTTGCGTTTCATTTCCATCC